TGCAGGCTATACCAGCTTCTCTCAGATAACAACTATGATACTCTCTAAACTCTTGACTATAACAACCAACGTGACCTAGGCTTTATAAATGCCACCTGGAAAACAAAACCTTCAGACCCAGCTCTAAGACAGACTTTCTGCTTGAAAGAAAAAGAAATCTAAAATAAAACTGAATGATAAATCATCATTTAAGGAAAAGCTGAAATTCTTGCTTTCTAACTTTAGCCAATCCTCCCCACTACTGAGCAATCACTTGATTCAACTCTTACTCTAACTAACACATTAAAGCTATTGTCACACTTTCCTGAAGTCACCCTTCACTCCCCCATACTAGTCACTTTCCACAGAAGCAACTTGCTGGAAGTGACATCCACCTTTTTGTTTTCAATGTCAAAGTTTTCAGGATCTTTGCCTAACTCTTTGCTTGCTAATGCTTCTGAAGAAAAAGCCAAATCCCATTTCCTCTCCGTTCCTCATTACCTGATCACAAATCTGCATGACTCACTCCTATCAGTAAGATAACATTGAAATTCTTACAGCTCACATTACTTGTGCTGTGGTCTGATGCAGGGTACTTGTTCTTCCTTCATGCAAGAACACTCTGCTTCATCACATTTGTCTAGACACTGTTTCTAGCCCATGGCTCCATCAAGCTGTTCTAACTGAAACTGCCTTCCACCCCAAACACACCTATTCTTCAAGAATACCCTTATGCCCTTGATATCTAAGGTAACTGCAATGGTCTGCACCCCACAGCTGCCTGTCCCTCTATGACCTTGTTCCTGCCACTCTCACTACTATTCTTTCTCTGTTCTCTAGCCATCTTCCCCTTTTTTGCTATTAACTCAGCCTGCTGGGAAACCTGGGCTTCTGGGTTGTATCAACTAGTTGTTCATGCTATAATAACAGAAGCTAAGTACTTCATAAAGTTAACGGGAATACTTAGCTTACAGTTTGGGAGGTGGAAAGTTCAAATTCAGGCAGTCCCTTCAATTCAAGTGCTGGTAAGGGCTGCATGACAGATGGAATCATAATAGTGAGGCCCACACAAGGAAGGGACCACATGATAAGACAGGAAACCAGAGAGCATGAAGGGACTGATCTCGTTCTTTTATAACAACTTGCTCTCCTGAGAACAACCAACTCACTCTGCAAAACAGCATCAGTTGTTTCTAAGGGCAGCACTGTCACTATTAGAAGGCAAGCTCCTGGAGCTAGGATATTTATTGTCTGTCATGTCCTTTGTTGTTTGTTCAACACAGAGCATATGCCTGAAATATAACAAGTGTCCGATAAATAACTCCTTAAGTAAGTAAATCAAAGAATAAATGCCTTGTGGTACTTCTTGCTAATTACTCATCAGTTTGCATATGAGTGTCTACTTTTCAAACAGATCATTAATTTCTTGAAAATGGAATGTTTTGCAGCTTTCTTAATATTTAGCAAAGTTTTAGGAGTGCAATAAAGACCACATTCTTCTCATATCAATAAATAACACAAGTATTTTGAAAAGTCAGTATTTTGAAATTATATAATACTATGTAAATGAAAAATTTCTGTTCCTGCATGATTTTTATCCCATATCTGCAAAATGGGGAGATCGAAAGTTCTCAAGTCAAGAAGGTCAAATAAAATAATGTTTTCTTTCTGACAATCATAGAATTCCATAAATCAGAAAAAAGCCTGCAAATAATTTAATCCAAGCCTTCATTTTAGAGAAGAAGAAAATAAGACTCAGGGAAAACAAATGGTGATTCAAGCATCTGGAGAGAGACTCATGACAGAGACAAAACAAGAATCCAGTCTCCAAATTCCTAGCTTCTCCTGCACATGGTGGAACAGCCCCTGGGACCTGGCTCATGTCCACTTGGAAGCTCCTGTTGATGTCCCAGCTGTCTCCTGGCCACTCTGTGTTAAGTCAGTATTAACATTCAAAGAGCAAGAGTTTGAAGAAGCTTTTGCAAGTAATGTCTTGGCTAGAAGCATTTGTTCTCCCTTCACAAAGCCAAGTGCTCTTTTTACCTGGCTTCTGATTTGCTTTACTTATGATTGCCACAACCATCTCCAAGATCTGTTTAAGTGTCTGCTCTCCCACCCTTGCCACCTGTTCTCTCACCACCTCTGGTGAATGCTGTAGAAAGACCTCCCACCTAGGAGAGGCTCTGTGGCTTACATAGGGCACTCCCACATGTTCTGAGAAAGACCCTGGTCTCTCCACCCAGCCATCATGCATTTACCCTTCTCCCAGTGGCCAACAAATCAAAGAACTGATGGTCAAATGCAAACTGGAAAGGACTCTTGAGTGCAAAGTGATGAAGAAATGCTGTTTGGCCAACTATTTTTCTCAGGCACGCTAAAGAAAATAATAACGTAAGTTAATTTAAATTCAGGAATGTGGAATGCCTTTTTTCAGAGCCTGGGATTACACAACTTAACCATAGGAAATGACAGAAGGAAAGGAAATAAGCTTTTTTCCCCACAATATCTTCCCTTACAATCAGTTTTTGCATCCGATTGAGGTACAGAAAAAAACCTTGACTTTGTGAAGGCTCACGCATCTTCCGAGGCCCTCCACAGATGTTTGCTGAGAGCTACCCTGCCACAGGGAAGGCAGATCTTAGTCTCTAAACACCTCCCACGTTCTTTTCCCCAGTTCTCACCAGCTGTGCCTGCCAAGTGCTTTAGTGTTTCTTCTTTGCCTGCTGAAATTCTACTTTTTTCTTGCAGTTTAACAACAAAAAAAGCAAGAAGCATTTATATAGTGCTTAATAGGCACCAGGTACTGTTTTAAGCACTATATGCATGCCTGCATAGTATTTATATATTGTTAATCAATTATCATGTGCTTATTATATACTCACTATGTAAACTGCTTAAATGATACGCAACCTATATTTAAGTTATATAAAGTTATAATTCTATATATTTATATGCAATATTTGTTATGTCATATATAAACAAAATTAGCTTGTTTGATCGTAATGACTCCCCTATAAAGTATTATCTCTATTTCACAGACGTGTAAACTGAGGCACAGAGGAGATAGTGAAAAAGATAACAGACTCAGATCTGGAGGCTAACTACCAAATAGCCTGATTTTAAATAACAAGTGCGAATCACAACGTTCACTTTCAACCTGCTCGAATCACCCACTAATAAGGAGCCATCCCTGGCCTCTCTCACAATCCGGTCTTCCTTTATTCTGCCTCCTCACTACGCTCTAATTGGACCTCATTGATACGTATGTTGTGATGGTTCCTTTTTATCACAATTACATGTCTCCCTACTTTCACCTGCCATCCCAATTGCTACCTCACCTCCACCCTAGATGAAAAAAATGGAGGGAGTACCTTCCTGTACATTGTTCTTTATATTCCTTGCACAAACACAATGGCTGATACGCTGTAGGTTTTACAATGTGACTGGATGAAATAGCATTACAGAAAAGTGAGGAGCACTTGCACAGACAAATCAAGAAGCCCTTTGAGCTTAAGTTGGTTTCTACATAGGTCCACATTTATTACATAAATATTAGCCATGTATTAATTCTGCAGGCATCTGGAATCAGTATTTTGGCTTTCTTGACCTATGGGATTTTAGTTTATAGCAAGAAGTCAAAAGACTGAACAGTACAAATAATTTAGTCCCAATTAATGCAACAGATAATTACCCTGGGGAATCAAATGAGGAAGAGATTATCTGGGTTGGTAACAGAAAAGGCAGCACGGAGATAGTGAGAGTTAAGAGATAAGTAGGTTTGGATGAGTTGAAGGTATTTAACGTCATCCTAAGGATGAGCAAAAACAGTATCTCTTCAGAAAAGAAGATTCAACATATTAACCAACCTTTTGCACACTGGTCACCAGGTGTTTACACTTCTTATCATAAACTACCAAACCAGTTTCTTATAGAATTCAAACCCCACTGAGTTTGTTGTGTACAAAAATAAAACCCAAAACCTAAGCCTTTATTATTCCTAAAAACCTACTGAAATTCAGAAATGCAGCAAAGCTAGAAATACAAAGCTAATAATGACCCCAACAGCATTCTATCTGAACTTTCTCTATTTTGGCCCTAACTATTTGAGAATTATTTGAGACATATCCTTGCAAAAGGCTGAATTTATAGCAATACAGTAAGCCCATTTTATCTGTGGATTTATTACACATGTGGATTTATTACCAAGTATAGTAAAAATAATAATAAAAGTGAAAGAAATTTCCAAAACAAAAATTTTAAATTCCCACACATATATTCCACAGGCCAGTGGACATAGAGAAGTTCTCAGTCAGCCTTGCATTAGCGTCAGCTGTGTTTAAACCACTATGTAATCTGCTGAGTGTCTCCTTGCCCTTCGTGTGAAAATCTGCCTCCCAAAAAGCCAGGCAAAATGAACGTGCTTAATTTAAGTGACCAAGTGAAAATCTGAGATTTGTTGAAAGCCGCGTGTCTTTAGCAGAAGGTCAACAGTGTTATGGGAAAAACAAATCAAGCATCTGCAATACAGCAGTGAACTCTAGGCATCCTGACCATTGGTAGTTTTTCCTCAACTGGAACCACAGACCTATGGCTACATCAAGGGTCTACAGTATGTACTATCCTAAATATATTTATTTATAATAGTAATGATAACAGTAAACATATGTTATAATATAGTAACATGCCATTTTGGAATATTTAGGAATTCCTGACATTCGTTTGCTTTTGCTTGCTTTCAGTCGCTGTATCTCTCTCTCTCTCTCTCTTTCTCTCTCTGATTCCCCTCAGATGTTGCATCTCCCTTTGTCATTCCAAATGTATTATATAGATAGACCTTCCAATGGAGTCCCAAGCTGTTGTTTAATCTCAATATTAACATTTGGAACAACAAGAGAAATTAATGTCTCAGTAGTATTTAGTGTAATACGTCAACCATAGTTTATAGGTTATCAAAATGTTATAGTAAAATAAATAGATTTTATCCGACATACAGTTAAAAATAATTTCACTGTATTACTCACTTGGTTGAAAATAAATGGAACTTCTTTCTTCTCTCCTACTTTCATAGAAGACACAGGAAATGTTGCTGTCCCTAGAGTTTCATCCATGACATAGTTGGCATCCATTAACGTGATCTGTAGAGCACAAAGTTTTCCAAGAGTCTTTGGAAATCATATCTACAACCTCTATTACATGTTAAAAAGTGAAAGTTTTCAAGTGATATTTAAAAGTCCCTTGATGTCATCATTTTTTGGTCAGGTGCTGGGGACAGAACCCAGGCCCTCACCCACCTAGGCAAGTGCTCTGCCACTGACTAACACACCAGGCCCCAGAAGTCCTCAATATTTAACTCACAGCAATAATTTTATTTTTTCCTTCTAAATACTACATTTTGCTACTATAACAATAATTTTTACATATTTCTGATTGTCCATTCAATTATCATATTTCCCCAAAATGGAAATTGATGCCCTCTCTATTTTGAAATGGAGAAAGAAATTAATGTAGAAAATAACACAACTACTTTGAAGAAAATCTGTTTTAACTTACCTTTGTGTGTGTGTGTGTGTGTGTGTGTGTGTGTGTGTGCTACTGGGGTTTGAACTCAGGACCCACACCTTGAGCCACTCCACCAGCCCTTTTTGTGTTAGGTATTTTTGAGATAGGGTCTTACGAACTATTTGCCTGGGCTGGCTTCGAACTGTGAACTGAGATCCTCCTGATCTCCACCTCCTGAGTAGCTAGGGTTATAAGCATGAGACACTGATACCTGGCCTATTTTAATTTATCTTAAAAGAAACTGAAAACATTAATATTCTATTTTACAAGAATTCTCATCTTTATAACAGAGCGTATGTTTTCTACAAAGTACATGAGGAGTCTTCTCCTTGTCTTCTTCAGCCCCACAGAACGTCCTGAATTTCTCAGGGTCTCTCAGATTTTGGATGTACTCCATGTAGAAGCTGGTCCACCATGCTACCCAGCCTGACTCAATCATACCAAACTGATCACTTTCCACATGAATGGCGACCATACAGCCTTGCCCAAGTGAGTCACTCACCTCCAAAATATTTTCCTGATTAGGGTCCAAAATGAATTCAAAGGTCTCATTCCACACAGGGTTTATGTCATTATTGAAGTGTCTTGTTCTCTTCCTGCCGTCGGGGGTCGTGGAGATGAAAAGTTCCACATAAGGATCTGGAGTGTCAACTATAGGCATAATCACAGAGAAGGGGGCAGAAATGTGTCTCATAGTTCCTATTTTTTCATTAATATATGTTGTCAGGTTATTTTTAGTGAATCCACAGTAATGTAATCAAACTACAACAAAATATAATAGAAACACATGATGATATGCTTTTTATATATTTATCCCTGCCCTTATGATAGGCCAGAATGACAGAACCACTTTCAGGTGATACACTCAGAATACCTCCATCCACCTAGGAGCATCTTGGTCCAGCTATGACAAGAAATTGCAGTCTCGCTTAGCTAACCACATCACAACCTCCTCAGAGCACCATGATGGTGGCAAGATTATAGGTTCAAGACCATGAGATCTGGCTACATTAGAAAAATCACCTTGGTTGCTTTGTTTATCAAACAAAGTAGATGGAAGTCATTGGGAGAAGAGTATTGCCTTGTATGGTTGTCCAGGTTATTCACTGAACTACTCTAAGAAGCGGCATTCACATAACTAATCAACATGCATTCACTGTGGCAGAATTCAACAAGATGGAAGTGAGCTGTCTCCAGGAAGTGAAAGCTTAGATTTCACATAAAATCCCACTTGAAGATGAAAGTGTGCCTCAATGGTACAGCACCTGCCTAGCAAGCACAAGGCTCTGAGTTCAACCCCAGTACTGCCCTCCCAAAAAGCCCACTTTAGTAAATACTGATCATTCCCTGCTCAGCAATTCCATTGAATCCTCTCACATCTTACAGCATTGCACACATTAAACTTCATTGTATAGATTAAATTATACCTCTGTCTTTTCCTAGAAGACTATAAACACTTTGAAAGCAAGGATCATATCTTACCTTTATATATTTAGAACCTAGCAGCTAAAAGCTGCTACAATAATACTTAAGGTCTCCTAACTTAAGGGCTTGACTTTTTTCTTCACACATCCTTTCCCATTTGGTCATTATATTTAATAACCACAAAACCAATAACTAAGTGGTCATTGCTAGAAGACCTTTACACACAGTAGTCTCCTTTAAATCCCACATCACTGTCAGGTAAGTACTTTATTTTAGTATTGAGGCAACAGGAACCGATGTTATGCAATCTGCCCACTTTCACACTGCTAATGAGTACCAGACAAGTCTTGAACCTGGGTCATCTGACTGCCATATTCATTCTCTAAATGACACCCTGCCCCTAAGGGTACCCGTGGCTCACAACTGTAATCCTAGCTACTTGAGAGACCGAGATTGGGAGGATTGTGGTCCAAATCCAGGTCAAATAGTTTTCAAGATTGCATCTCCAAAAATAACCGGAGCAAAATGGACTGAAGGAGTGGCTCAAACGGTAGAGTGCCTGCTTTGCAAATGTGAAGCTCTGAGTTCAAAAAAAAAAGAAGGAGATCATGAGGTATGGGTTCATATGGAAAGAAGAGCTGGACTTACAGTTTTCCAGAAGAGGAGAGAGACAGGAAAGAGAAAGAAACAGCAAGAGTAACAGAGGAGAGAGAAAGAGAGTCACAGAGGTACACACACACACACACACACACACACACACACAAAATCTGCAAAAATTGAAAGCAAAAGAAAAGTAAAAAATAATAATTTCTGAACTATTGGTTAGATTCAAAGTAAAGATTTTTTTAATATACCCTGATCTTCAACAGTAGCTGAGGTTGTGAAATTTTCTAACACTGCTCATAGTTCTTCTCTACTACCATCAGATTTTTTGATTGCACCTTTTTTAGTGAAATTAGGAAAATGAAGCCTCAGCATTTTCAGTCATCTTCTATTTAATGTCCTTACTTTGAGCTCATGCATCCTCATTCATGGGCAGTGTGTCTCAAAGCTGAGGGTTCCAGACAAACGGCCTAGGGTTCTCGTAAAACACAGGCCTCAGACCTCAACCCCCAAGAGCCACAGTCAACAGGTGTGTGCTGGGACTGGGATCCTCCTCTGCAAATCACTAGTCTAGCTGACACTTATGAGTCATTATCTGGTCACACATTTGATGTCCTATCTGGGAGAAACAGGCAGTTACTACAATTTTTCTTTTTTGATATATGAACTTAACTTTTTTATTGTTGTGTTGGGGGTAAATTGTAGCATTTACAAAAGTTCTCACAATATATCAAATATATCATACTTGAATTTACCCCCTTCACCATTCTCCTTTATCACCCCATGCCACCCTCCTTAGCATTTACACTTCTTTTTTTAGCACTTACATTTTTTTTTCTATTTGTGATTTTTTTTTCCTTTTTTTTTTAATTCTTATGTGCAAACAATGTTTGGGTCATTTCTCCCTCCCTTACCCCTCCCCCCACCCCTCCCTCTTTCCCCCACCCCCTTGCTACCCAGCAGAAACTATTTTGCCCTTATGTCTAATTTTGTTGTAGAGAGAGTATAAGCAATAATAGGAAGGAACAAAGGTTTTTGCTGGTTGAGATAAGGATAGCTATACAGGGCATTGACTCACATTGATTTCCTGTGTGTGTGTTACCTTATAGGTTAATTCTTTTTTTTTTTAGCCAACTCCAGAATCAATTTATTTTACATTATTTACATTCTCCATTTGATGTATGATATGAAATATACAAAAAAAAACTATATGTAAATAAGTCTATGCAAACTATCAATAAATGTAAAATAAAAATTATAAGTGAAAAGACAGCGTTGTGTCATAGGTTACCGGGCAGTAAACTATATTCTTGGTAGTATGTGACATATATTCTTATAAGTGATATCTTGTATTGATAAATGTTATATCATGAATTCATTAGTGTTAACAGAAAATAAGCTACATATGTGTATAAATGTACTGATATTAAATGAATTGAGAAAAGCCTACAAAGATATAAATCATCTGTGAAGAGTTGTCTTTGGGGAGGAGAATGGGCAAGAAGTGAGCAGAAGACAGGGTATTAACATTGAACTACGTGTCTCTGTGTGTGAGTCGTTACAATAAGAATATACTCACAGGTTAATTCTTCTTGATCTCACCTTTTCTCTAGTTCCTGCTCCCCTTCTCCTATTGGCCTCAGTTGCTTTAAGGTATCTGCTTTAGTTTCTCAGCGTTGAGGACAACAAATGCTATCTAGTTTTTTAGGTGTCTTACCTATCCTCACCCCTCCCTTGTGTGCTCTTGCTTTTATCATGTGCTCAAAGTCCAATCCCATTGTTGTGTTTGCCCTTGATCTAATGTCCACATATGAGGGAGAACATACGATTTTTGGTCTTTTGGGTCAGGCTAACCTCACTCAGAATGATGTTCTCCAATTCCATCTATTTACCAGCAAATGATAACATTTCGTTCTTCTTCATGGCTGCATAAAATTCCATTGTGTATAGATACCACATTTTCTTAATCCATTCATCAGTGGTGGGGCATCTTGGCTGTTTCCATAACTTGGCTATTGTGAATAGTGCCGCAATAAACATGGGTGTGCAGGTGCCTCTGGAGTAACCTGTGTCACAGTCTTTTGGGTATATCCCCAAGACTGGTATTGCTGGATCAAATGGTAGATCAATGTCTAGCTTTTTAAGTAGCCTCCAAATTTTTTTCCAGAGTGGTAGTACTTGTTTACATTCCCACCAACAGTGTAAGAGGGTTCCTTTTTCCCCACATCCTCGCCAACACCTGTTGTTAGTGGTGTTGCTAATGATGGCTATTCTAACAGGGGTGAGGTGGAATCTTAGTGTGGTTTTAATTTGCATTTCCTTTATTGCTAGAGATGGTGAGCATTTTTTCATGTGTTTTCTGGCCATTTGAAATTCTCCTTTTGAGAAAATTCTGTTTAGTTCACGTGCCCATTTCTTTATTAATTCATTAATTTTGGGAAAATTTAGTTCTTAAGTTCCCTATATATTCTGGTTATCAGTCCTTTGTCTGATGTGCAGCTGGCAAATATTTTCTCCCACTCTGTGGGTGTTCACTTCAGTTTAGAGACCATTTCTTTTGTTGAGCAGAAGCTTTTTAGTTTTATGAAGTCCCATTTATCTATGCTATCTCTTAGTTGCTGTAGCACTTATATTTCTTAATGGAACTATGAAAGACAAGCCCTAAAACAGAATGAATAATCAACATATCAAGATGGATGATAAAGGAAAATGTACCCAGAAAGAAAAGAACACAGTAGGAGGTGACAGCGATGTCACAACCAGGAGTGACTACTTCTTCTCCTTTACGTATTTTTACCATGTCTGCAGTGCTCAGCACTGCAAACCAGAAGCAAAACCACATGTTTAGAATAGCAGCAGACATCAGATTGAAAAGAAAAATATGTTTTCCTCTTTTGAGTAGAAGTAAATATGTGATTTTAAGGAGCATATTCAATTGACACTTCAAATGAAATGTAAAAACAATGTGACTTTTCATCATCTCACAGGGACAGTTCTTTTTCATAGGGCCAATGCTTTTTTTTTTATCAGTTTCCCAGAAATACTGGAAAAAACAATGCCAAACAAAATCCAATCTAAAATATAAAATCTGTAGGGAGGGGAGACAGGCAAATGGTAAGCATCCTTCATTCATTCAACAAACATTCAAGTGACCACTGTATGCCAAGAAATGCCCATCAAAGAGCAGTTTGGCTTTGATAAGGAGCCAAGCCCTGCACTGCAGATTTAAAGTATGAATGTGAGTTAAATGCAAATAGCCTGATTTAAAAGCAAGGTAAATGGGAGACAAGCAGATACACTGCCCCTGTGACTAGTAACTCTGTCACCCAATGATTACACTTGAATCAGGTCAAACTGTGGGTGGAGAAATTGCCCTTTGAGGCATGATGTTTGAATCTTTGATGAGGAAGAGGGAGTGGTCTTCGTAGACCAAGCAAGGAAGAGAAAGCAGAAAGTGAAGTTTCTTGGAAAAAAACAGATAGAAAAAGAAAACAAGTTGGAGTGCCATGTGGCCATGATACAGTCATTTTTCTAGTCATTTTAGACTCTCAATGGCTCATACACCTTAACAAATATTAGCTCTGACAAAACAATAAAGGAAATACCATAGTTATATGCCAAGA